GAGAGAGAGAGAGAGAGAGAGAGAGAGAGAGAGAGAAAGAGAGAGACCACGGCCGATGACTTCACTGGGCAAAACCTAATTGTATCAATGTGATGTTGCTCTCTTTTTTCCCCTTTTTTTTTAACCCCCCCACCTCCCCCTAAAAAAAAATCCCGTGAAAAAAAAGAAAAGAAAGTTCTGTTTGCTTGGCTTCTCTCATGACTTCCACCGTTCATTGTTGTAATTGTCAAATACACGGTATATTTTTTCGTTGGTGGTTGGCTTTTATTCATTAGGTAAACTGTTGTTTTTGTCTGTTTCACTTTACCCCAATGGTATGTGATCGTTTTTTGTCTATGTTTCCTTTAGCTCCGACAGAACATTAATTCTGAAGGTTTGTGTTTGTCTTTTTTTGTTGCGTTTACTTTGTTTCTTTTTGTTTCAAAGAGGAGGGGGTGGGGTTGTACATTTTAAATCCCACTTACCCGTTTCAGGAACATCTCCGCCCCTCCCCCCTTTCTGCCTTTACGTGGGGGGGGGGGGGTTCCGCCAACTGCCCTGCCTATGTTAACTTGTTTGTATGTACGCGCGCGCACGTGTGTGTGTGTGTGTGAGTGCGGGCATGCGTGCGTGCGGGCACACACGTGAGCCTGTCGACGTGTGTGGGTGTGTGTGCCAGACCTAACGTTTTCTTTGCATGTAATGTATCGGTATCTTGGACACGGCTTTTGCCGTACATGTACTGTTGTACCAGGTCACCCACACCCTCTCCGCTCCTCCCCCTCCCCTTCCTCTCCCCTGTGCCTTCTCTCTTCTTTCTCCCCCTCCCTCTCCCCCGCTCCTCTTTTCGTCTTCTTCCCTCCCATCCTCTCTCCTCTTCCCTCTCCCCTTCCCTATAACCTCCTTTCACCCCCCCCCCTTTCCACCCCCTGTGCCTCCTCTCTTCTTCTGTCCCTTCTTCCTCCTCTCCCCCTCGCCTTATCGCCGTCTGGCTGTATGTGATCGAGACCCGCGACCAGTGGTCGATGCTGGGCTAGTTGGCTGGCGCGGGAAACTTGAACACTCTCTGTCACTCACACCGCGGTAGGCGCGCGCTGACCGGCGCTCACAATTGTGTTGTCTGCGGATGCGGAGATATTACTTGTATTTCGTACAATGCCAAGTATATAATAT